GTGGTGGTGGTGGTCGATTATTGTTATGGAGGATAGCGTCGCTTAGCGTTTGGGCGACCTGAGTCAGTTGCTGTAGATTCTGGACTAGAGATTCGTGAGCGGAGGGTTCAGGGGTCTTTGACTGACTTCTTGTTGGCGCCATTCTGGTGGTCTACAGGGCCAATATTGATCGTAATGGTAAGTTAGTGGTCTGCATCCTTACCATGATGCTATAAGTATAGGGGATTTTTAAACTAAGCACATGATAGAGTGAGGGGAAGTTAGGCAGACAATGATAGATAAACACACAGCCTCACCGCGTGTCCTAAGTTTCCTGAATCCTATGTACTTAAATACCTAGAGTTCAAGCTTAATGTCCTAAAGTCTTGTCTTAAGGGTTTCATCCTAGGGTCGAACTTAGGCTCTGATACCAACTGTAACACCCCTAAATTTCACAGTGTTTAAAACTTATAAAATAGAGGTGAATCCGTTGATTAAATCCCAAATAGAGCATGAAGTTATCCATGAGAGTCGGGGTGCTATGTCACACCTAGGTTTGAGAACCTAGGTGCACAGGCTAACTTAAATAAACATAAGAAATCCTCAAATTAATATTCATTACAATCCCAAGGCACGCAGGCCACTACTAACTAAGCTAAGTCCACGGCTCAGACTAGCGCGCTCCGAAGCTAAGGCTCATCACTTGAAAAACATTCGGTATAACAACCGTCAGCGAATAATGCTGGTAACCCACTCCAACGCGTTAAGTACAATATAGGTAGATATAAGAAACTCATTTTGAAACTGGAATACATATATAATCCTGAGTAACTCTAATTTAAATCCGAGAACAGACTCAACAAGCAATAGAAGATACATTCAATATAATTAAACCTAAAGATTCTAACATGCATCCTAAGGTCACAGGACTACACAATACAAGCCAAATCAATACCCAGTTATCATCACAGTCAAACAATCAACAATAAGACACGTATTGGTGCCCACACATACGATGGTGCCGCAGAACCATTCACATGACCTGAACCTTGAGTTCCATTGTCAAGGGGTCACTGCATATAGCTCTGACATGGCCCTGCAGCACTTTAACTTGTACCGCAGCACAATGAAGAACCAAACGATTGTTCGCAACCAATCAATGAACCGCAGCTCATTCTTATCATATATGTTTGATTGCAACCAAACTATGGACCGCAGCCCTATTATTATATATACTAGCCGATTGTTCTCAACCAATCCAACTGCCTGTATAGCCGACCGTTCTCAACCGATCGGGTTAATACCTGGTTGTTCTCAACCAACCAGATAGTCATTATAGCCAATTGATCGCAACCAATTGGGTCATCATGCACAACAACAACGAAGCCAATCACAAGCAACCCACATTAACACATAACAAGGGGGAATCATCAGGAACACGTAACCCAACATAACCCATCCATAACAACAACATTAATCCACTCACGACACTCCTACGGGATCATGCAACTTCCTCCAAGGCCAACGGGATACCAATTCAACTCGCATGCAACACACAAGACTCTTTTATCCTAAAACGGTACCCGATACATCAAACTAGACTCACAAACACCGATGGGGTGAAACGGGACACGGGGAAAAACACCACGAACCACGCCGGGATTCCAGCGGGTAGGTGGCGGGTGGAGGACCACCCGCCGGCGGCGGGTTACTATTCCAGCGGGTGGCCGGTGGGCAGGCCACCGCCCGCCGGCTGCCCGTTGGAACAGTAGAAACGGGCAGCGGGTAGGTGGCGGGTGGTCAGTCCCCCCACCTACCCCCCACCGATACACAGGCAACTTTATGATCCCGAGATCCCTTGTGGAACCCGAAACCATGTCCAAACACATTTAAACACATAATGATAACACCACGTATTCAATTAACGGAGTTAAACCAAGAATCACAACAAATACGTTCAAACACGATTCCTAAACATGCCAGGACGTAACATCAACCATATAACAGTTCAGGAGCATCCAGAACCACAGGAACATCAAGAACTCTATATGCAAGACCTAAACACAAGTCCTAGGCTAGACTCAATACCCGATCATGCAAAATCTCACCCAAACATACCAAGAATAACATAATACGAAATCCACATTTTAACCCTAGGGCTCTAGACATAATCAAAATACAAGATCGTTCATATAATTAATCATAGTATCAAGAACATCCAGATTACCACATAAGCACCAAAATCAACACATAAACATCAAGATTATCACATAAACACAATATAAACCCTAGGCAAAGCTCTATCAAGACTTAAGCACGGAATCATATATCATAGGAGCCAATGAATAAGATATAGCAAGGAAAATGGGTTTTGTTGAGACATGGGTTATCTCTTAGCCTTAATCAATATCCTTGGCTACTAAGGTTCTTTCTCTAAGATCTTCTTCCCGTGGGTTCAACTATGTTTGGTGGCAGGGGGATTCCTGGGAATATCTTGTGTGGTAGAATTGACTGTGGTAGGTTTTCTAAATGCTTCCTAAGTCCCTATATATAGGTTTAGGAGTCCCATCTAGGGTCTGTGTAATAGTAGGGATCCATTTATCATATTCCTTATAGGATTAAGGATTTGGGTTTAAGGATAAGGGACCATGATCCATAGTGGGCCACATCAATTAATTAAAGGGAATTTTAACCAAATTAAATCATTTCTAATTATTACCAACGGAACCAATTAAATACTTAGCCCGGGATTAAAGGTCGTAACACAGGGTGTTACAATTCTACTATGAAATCGACTAAGGCTTGGGCCTTAAGGGACGGCCGGGGAGCGTACTCAATCCCATACTGGGTGAGCTCCATTGCCCATTTCAGTAGTCGTCCAGACAAAGACGGACTGCACAGCACGCCAGACAATGGCAGGTCGGTCAATACCCTGACCTGGTGTGCCTGAAAGTAGGGAACCAATTTTCGAACGGTAGTAACTAGGCGAAAGGAACTTTCTCCAGGGGGAATAGTTGATCTCTGCACCCTTCAGTGTCTGCCCTACGTAATATACGAGCCATTGAACCTTGTCCTCTTCCCGCACCAAGACCGATCCGACCGCTTTATGAGAGGCAGCCAAATACAACAGCAAGACTTAGCCTTCTTCGTCGAGGACACACCGCCTACTGAGCCTGGCCGCCCAACCAAGGCCTGAGGGGGGACCTGGTCGGGGACACACCGGCTACTGAGACTGGTTGCCCATCCGAGCCTGCAGAGTGAACCTAGTCGGGGACGCACCGGCTATAGAGTCGGGTCGCTTTACCTGAGCCAGCCAACTAGGTTTTTCCATATATCTTGTACTCTTTTCTTGTCTAGGTTTTTCCACAAGGTTTTCCTAACAAGTTTTTAGCGAGGCAAGATCATGGACAAATAATGTCCAAGGGGGAGTGTTATAAATATATTAATGTGGACATTATTTCTATTGTAACGGACGTAACGATCCGGTAATTAAGCATGTCATTATTGTATCTGTTATATTTGTATTGTATATATACTTACATATGTTGTATTGTTTTGTGGTTAATGGAAATCTTGGATTATCCCCCTACACTATTGTTTATCATTCTCTCTTCTCTTTACAATATCTTCCTTCTTGCAAAGTTCATCGATTCATCGATTAGGAGTTAATGACCAACGGGCATACATTTACAACACTTACAACAGTTGTAAGTAGTATATTGTATGACTATATATTTATATAAATCATTTTAAATGACCTCCAATGGTCTTCCGTGTTTTAAAAAATAACCACCCATGGTCCTTTTAGGACGTCTCGTGGTCATTTTAAACTCGAGTTTTTTTTTTTAAGAATTAGGACCACAGGTGGTTGTTTTTTAAAACATGGAGGACCATTGGAGGTCATTTAAAACTCGGATGACCACAGCGGGTAAATCGCTAATACTCGGAGGACCATTTGAGGTATTAACTCTTTATAATTACATATGTTATATTCCATAAGTATATATTTGTATGATTCATGATCACGTAATTAAATATTTGGTAGATATTTAATTAAAATAGCATGATATATATAACATAACATATAAATAACGATAAATTATTTTCTTCACCAAAAAAAATGATAAATTAAATTTTGGATAATGCTATCTACCCCTCCAAAAAAAATTTCTCTAATTTCCCCTCCTGACATTTTTCTTTTGGATAATTATCTTTATTTATTCATGATAGCATGTTATAACGTTCAAATCAATTTTAATCGTGCATTTTATTTTTTATCAATGATTCACACGTCTTGAATGGTCTTGATAATAAAATATATATTTTATAAAAAGTTGAATCAATATAATATACAACTATATATGTACTTGCATTAGTTGCATACACGTGTTCTGTTTCAAAAACATAAGTTACTTAGTTGGAAAAAAGTTTTTTTATATGTGACTATGTGAGGTTAAAGGGACAATTTTTATATTATACAGGTTAATAAGTTCTGGCAGGATGGCCTATTTAACCCATCAACCCACTAGTATAAGTTTGGTTCATGTTTCCATCCCATACACAAAAATGGGCCGAGTTTACTCAGCCCATTTTTCACTGACATGCCAGCCATATCAGTGGAACTGACCCGTTTGGACAGCTATAAATAAAAAATCTTATTCGCAATTACTATACCATGAACCAAAGTACATTTTAGTTCAAAATTGTGTATTTTTAATATTAAAATAGTGAATATTTAAAATACAAGTTATATTTCTACGTTTTGAGAATTTGTGAATAAAATATAAGATAATTACAAATTGTGAATTTTAAAAGGTAAATTACAAACATTTAGTATGCAAACTGTGTATTTTTATCTCAAGTCCACCTTGCAAGGTAAACCCAGATCAACAGAATAATTTGACCCTTATTTGCCTGCAGGCCCTAGTGAGGCAACAGTACGCAGTTGATAATAATGTATATGAAAAATCCTAGATGTTAAATCCATAATTTAGGAAATATTCAAATATTGGTTATTGTTATAGTATAAACCATAACCTAAATCCATAATCCATAATAAATAACAATACAATGGAAAGGAAACAAGGCAACAGCAAAGTGTTTGTATCTTCCAAGACAAGCATTGCATGCTGTGTGTATTCTTAATTTACAAAAATCCTATTTCGCTTGCACTTTTTCAAAGATGCAACATTATAAAATTACTGCAAACCTCCTCTATACCTGACAGCTGCTAAGCATAATAAACAGAATTTCACCGGCCCAACCTTTAGCTTTTGATGGTTTAAACAATAAACCCGGCCTAGTACTCTGAATCGACTTTAGACGGACTGTTGTACTAAAGATCCGCTCCCGCTTCCTTTCCTCACCACCCTAGCCCCGTTTGTGCTGTCTGGGTTACCGAAGGGAGGCTGATCAAATTCCGACCAACCAGAAGATGGGGAATGGCTGTAATTATCTGGATGGTCGAATTTACAGTTTGGTCCAAACTTGCAAATGCCATATCGGCTGTAATACGAGCAGATGGCTTGATCCTAAATTGCAAAACACAATAAGAAACGGTTCATCTCTTGGTGCATACCTTCTCAAATCCAAAATAACAAAGGGGAAATAGATGCATCTTCTTTCCTACTCTCAAGTAAAACAACTGCTTATTAATTTATTGAGTTATGCCATGCAAGATAGATTTCGTTTTTGAGAACCCAAATTTCACAAGACCACACCCAGACTGAAGAAAAAAACTTACAGGTCTTAGAGGCAGGCCCTTGTCATTAAGAAGTGTTTGGGTCCTCGTCAATTGAGTCTTTGGATGATGAAACTTGCAATTAGATTTATATTTACAGTCACCAGTTTTAATGAAGTAACTGCATTCAGGTTGACCAGGTCGTTCAGGATAATCTTCACCCAGCAGAGGCAGAGAATGTCGTGGATTGAACTTTTCCGTTCCAGAATTGCTCATAGCAAATGCTGGAGGTGTAGGGAGGCTCTTCTCTGATGCTTGGTAGACAGGAGCCTCAATCAACCAAACAAATAAACAAGTAAGAAATATATTACAAGAACCTTCTTTTTTTACCGGCACACAAAACTTCAGAAAGAAGTCAACAAAAGGGCCGCAGCACTCGAGCATTATAAACATTTGAAAAGAAGACGGCATAGAGAGGTAAAGTGCCTAACTCAACAAAGGACACAACTCAAACATATATATCTAGAATAGTCAAAATCAATGCCACCAATGAAGTCAAAAAAGTACCTGATAATTATTCCATTCTGGAGTGGGAGAAGGAATGCTTTGAGTTGGTGGATACATCATAGGAGGAACATAAGAAGTTGTCTCGTTTGTTGGTCTGGATGAAGACCAAGAAGTCACAGTTGACTGAGATGAACCTTGCATTGGAATAGATCTTCCCTTGCTATATCCAGAAGAAGAGTCCTCTCCAGCCATTATGGTGGGCTCAGGATGATGAAATCTGCAGTTGGATCCATACTTGCATGAGCCAGTACGCATATAGTATGGGCACTCCTTTTCTCCCTGCAATTTAAGGAGAATGCTCCCATTATAATTTTGTTAATGGGTCTCCAAAGATAGATGCTAAGACAGACCGAGAAACCAGAAACTAGAAATAGGATTGGCAACAAAGAGTACAAATATTTCAATTAACTGGAATGTCCTGAAATAATTGAAACATGCAATACCGGTCGCAGAGGCAGGCCAAGAAAGTTAAACTCTTGAATAGGTGACGCTGGAACCTTTTCCCTGCTATGGTTGTATTTGCAACTTTTCCCAAACTTGCATCCAGCTGACGTTAGGTAAAACTGCAACTCATAGAACGGAAAACTTAGGAACACCAAAGGAGGTTATAATTCAGGCTTTAATTTGAGCTGTGAAACCTGAACCACATATTACAATGTGCCAATGCCAAGTGAAGATAAACGTTGGCAATGAAAGAAAACAAAGAGATACAAATAGTATTAATCGTTGGGAACACTGAATCTGTGAGATGGAATTTACCACACAGCTGATTCATAGTGATGAACAATAGCTACGGTACAAAAAGAAAAAATGAAATATGAATATATGAAGGGAGCAAAGAAAAACCTGTAGCACACCTCAAGTCACATACATATAACTAGAAACTCTTTTTAGAGATACATCAATATTAATATTTGACACTGAAACACTTGGGTTCCCTATTACTTAGCACAAAGTGAAGCACAAGCATTTTAAATAAAGTTCACAGTGTGGAGAAAAAAAAAATATATATATATATATATATATATATATATATATATATACATACATACACACATATATATATATTAAAATATCTAGTTTTCGCACCAATTACCAATTTTAAATAACATGTATGAAAGGGGAAAAATGCATGTTTGCAGCAAAAGCCTAAGAAAGGTAAATAAATAAAAATAAAAAAAATTAAAAAACAGAAGATGAGAAATATAATTGTATAATTGTATTACAGATTTAGTGTATTTACTATTTAGTATCATCCACTGAATGAAATGGACTAACAATTAAATAGCATATTTGAACAACTTTGCATGTAACACATTTAAATGCTACACTAGTGCCGCCTCCCACCAATTTCACTTTGCTGGTTGAATAAAAACTCCACAATTTCAATTTGCAATAGTTAAGCATTGAACAGTAATATTCAGATCTGTTATGTGTCAAATGGCAAACTGAAGAAAAATAGAGAAATAATCTTGCTTAAGGACTCTTTATGAAACAGCTAGTTTTAATCAAAAAGGAAAAGATATGACAAAATTATTGGCAATAGAGATATTAGGTTTGATTTAGGAACATCTAACCCTTCTTGTTCATTTGAGAAAAGAAGAAAACACAATAGAACAAAGAAACAATTTGAAAAAGATGAAAGAAGATGACTAAAACTTGTTATACAAGGATCTTGAGCCATCCTGCAAGCTCTCTTATCAACCACTTTTCAAAAAGGGAAATGACATTTCAACTTCCAAATATTACCAAATGGTGTAGATAATAAATCCATAAAGAGGAAACCTTTCCAGCATTTACAAACATAAACCCACAAAAAATTAGTATAGCATTAAATTCTCATTAAAGAAAATACCTAATAAGCAAAAGATGGAAATCCCTTTTTGTTGACATTGTTGAAGTACAAAACATACAACAAATTAGGCAACAAGAGACACAGCCATACAAAAATCTACAAATTACTAGTGCAGAAACCCATAACAAATTTCAGATCACACTAAATCATCACCATTTTAGGAGTGGCTTGCATTTTGTCAACACTAAGAGAAGCTACAAGCTTTGATCAAGAATTAAGAGACTGCAGCAGAATCAGTACATTGGGACTATTAATTTTCATAATTTCATTTCAATACCAATTGTGGCAATTAATTTTTATGCCACTATCAGTGCATATCATAACAATTTTCATTCAATATTTTCCATTTTAAAATAAAATTGTAAATCAAAAGCAAAAGTCCACACATTTCTCTCAACACAGTTACAGATCAGGAACAGAGGCATACCCAAATTGAACTCAACTATCAACCACATGATTCACTTGCTATAGTTACAGGCTGAGAGACAGAAACATACCCTACTTGACCTTAACTATCAACCAGAGCTAGAGGGGTAAGCAGTGAAACAAAAAATGTTGGTACTACTAGAGACTAGAGAGTTAGAACAAATGCTAGCCTTCTTATAGTTAACTAACAAACATAATTGTTTTCACAAACTTATGCTACTTAGCAATGGAATAGGCACCAGTTAAATCATCAATCATGCCATTAAAAACTCAAGAAAGTACAAGAATAAGACAATTTTGTTAATGAAGTAAACAAACATAGATGAAACAATTCTAACAAATTGTTGTTTGATTTAAGATATTGTTCATTCAGAATGAACCAGCAGATCCAAGTTTGTTCATGTATGCTTAAAATAAGAAAATGTATACAAGAAGTGTTTACTAACTCAAGAAATTTCTCATTTTTCCGGAGAAATAGAAACTGGAGAAAGCAAAACAGAGATAAAAGGTGCTGGTAAACATATTTTCTAAATTGGAATTTGAAATCAAAAAACAGAGAATGGAAAATGGAGAAATGGAAAGCTGGAGAAAGGAAGAAATAAACACAGCAAGGAAGAAATAAAATGATCATATCATTAGGTTCCTTGGCTAGTCAGTCATACAGGAAAATAAATGAAAAGGGAGAAATAAAATTCAACATTGCATTCTGTGTTATGATTTATGAAAAAAAAAAAAAAAAAAAAAAAAAAAAGAAATCCAACCTTGCATTCTGTGTTCCTCTTTCTTTCCAGGTTTTCTATTATGTAAAAACAGGAAAATTAAATTGGCACTACCGAAACATGCAAACAAGATCCATCATACTAAACATATGGAATTTGATTTTACTGTTTTATTATGAATATAAAAATCACACCAATAGGTTCATCAGCCAGTTGTATAAAGTACAAACAAATAAGAAACAAAAACCTAACCTTGCATTCCGTCTGAACTGCTCCTCTTTCCTGGTTTTCTTCTTTCAAAGTTCCCTTATCTTTAGGCCACTGGATGAGAAATAGCACAAACGGTTAAAATAGTAGACACATCAGCAGAACTTTCTAATATCTAAAACTTACACTGGAAATGGAAACAAGCAATAAATACGATAAAAATCATAAAAATATCAACTTGAAATGGGAAAAAAAAATCGTACCTGAGTTTTTCTTCTGGGGTGATTGAACTTGCAATGAAACCCAAATTTGCAGTTCCCAGTTTTCATGTAATAGGAACAGTCCTCGGCGTCGGGTCTCAAAGGATAGTGGAAAACGAACTTCCGACCATTGCTAGCATTAAACCCATCATCACCTCCTCCCGTGTCTCCTTCCTTAAAAACTCTATCACCCCTATCCCCACTCTCAGCCCAACCTCCGCTCCTATCATCATCACCATAAACATCATATCCATCATGATCACCATACGCATGCCCATAACCATCATCGTCACCGACAGATTTTTCTGATCCCCCGTAGCTCTGGTTTCTGTCGCGATCGAGATACGCCTGGGTCACCACCAAGTCCTGAAGCTCATCGGAGATGGCTCGCATGGCCTTCTCATCATAGTCGTCGTCATCATCATCATCTTCAGACAACAGTGGAGGGCTTTGAGGAGGGTTTTGGGGATTGGGATCCGGGGAAAGCGATTGATTTGTGAGCGATTGAAGCTCAAGCCCTAGCTCTTGATTTTCCGCATCGGATTGGTGTTGATTTTGAAGTTGTTCTTCCATTTTGCAAATGTAATTCCGAAACCCTACTCCCGAAAAGTAAAGTTAATTTCGGGTCAAGAACAAGAGGAAGCCAGCCTGCTTCAAACTCAGTTTATTTCCACTTCCCAGGGGCCGTTTGGTTTGCGCCTAATCTCTCTTTAAGCCATAACATATATATAATATATTTATCTCACCTTATCAACACTGTCAATTTGTATATTTCGGGTAAAGAGTTAATTCCAGCCATGGTCTTCGGACTATATTGATTTTTCAAAATTAGTCCTTGACTTTTAATTTGAACACTTTAGGTCTCTTGACTTTTAATTTCTTTCCAATTGAGGTCCTTTCGTCAGAATACGATTAATTGAATTTTAAATGAAGGGGCAAACTCATCATTTCACCTGCCTATGTATTATTCTTAGTATTTCTCCATTGTATACGCGATATATATGAAGATAATCTTAGTCGAAACCCTAAAATGTTCCTCGTCGTTCCCCATTTGCTGACTACCCGTGTGTGCGTTCCTCTATTATTGAGATGTTTACAAGGTATAACAGCGAAATACGAAGGGAGAAATACGAAGAATAATACATAGGCATGTGAAAGGACGAGTTTACCCCTTCATTTAAAGTCTAATGAACCGTATTCTAACGAAAGGACCTCAATTGGAAATAAATTGAAAATCAGGGGATCTAAAATGTCCAAATTAAAAGTCGAGGACTAATTTTGGAAAATCACTATAGTCGGAGGATTATTGCTGGAATTAACTCATTTCGTCAATACGGAGTATCATAAACATTTTTGCTACACACCTCTATATTTACCACTCACACAAATTCACTCTCTCGATGTGTCAATTTGTAATAAGTTAAAATTAAAAAAAAAAATAATAATCACACAAAAATAGCCACATCATGGAATGGTCACATTTGTGTGATTTTTGTACGGGTGGGATTGTGGGAAACATTTCTCTATCATAAAAGAAGTGATCTTTTACTTCTTCTTTTTTATCTCTTGCTGTTTTTTTTTTTCAAAAATAAAATACGAAAATGTTTGGTAATTTCAATGAATTTACCAAAAAGGAAAAATAATGTGAAATTATCAAAATACATCAAAAAAATCTTTTTTTTAAAGAAATCTATTAAATAATAAATATCTACTATCTACTATATAATAATAATAATCTAATAAGAGCCAATAAAGTTAAGCCTATAACATGAACTAAAAAATGTTGGTCCAATTGTTTGTTGAAATGAATGGTTCATATTATTTTGAGGGTGAATTCCATTTTTGGTCCTACTGTTATAGGGGTGTTTCCAATTTTAGTCCACCTTAAATTTTTTTGCCACTTTATGACCACTATTATTGAATGTGTTCCACTTTTAGTCCACCGTTACTCCGTTAGTACTTTCATCAAGAGGCCGTGTAATCTAGGGGTATTTTGATCTTTCTTCTCATCCAAGACTATGTTTGACTAAAAGAAATGAGAACATTAAACCTAAAACCTAAGAAACCTCGCCGGTCCACGTTGGAACGAACGAAACGATGTAACTTTGGCTTCCCATTCTCGTTGTTCGAAGAGTCATCTTCGAATATCGGAGGAGGAGGACGGAGCGCCTAGATTAAAAGAGAAGAGACAACCATAAAAAGACCAAAATACCCGTGGATTATACGGCCTCTCGACGGAAATATTAACGGTGGACTAAAAGTGGAATATATTCAATAACAGTGGTTGTAAAGTGGCAAAAAAAATTAAGGTAGACTAAAATTGGAAACGCCCCTATAACAGTAGGACCAAAAATGAAATTCACTCTTATTTTGATTTTAATATGTTTTTATTCTTTTTCCTACTGTACCCTCTATTATATCATTTATGTTCCACACACAATCATAAATGCGATATTTATAGGGAATGGAAAGGGACACATGTCGAGTTCTCAGAATGCTGCAATGTGTGCTCGGGATGGGAAAGGGACACATACAGTTGGTAAGCTCGGGAGCAATCCTGTCGGCCACGTGTGCTTAGATTCATGATCGCCTACTAAGAGGGGTTGGAATAAGGCTCGAAATCTATGTAGCTCGGTTACCGCATTGAGGTCAGAAAAATCGGGGTCGGTCACAGAGCAGCGAAATGCTACCGCTGCCTCCAGCTAGCTCGGTTACTGCATTGACGTCAGCAAGATCGGGCTTACGCTCGGTCAAGGTCGGGACTAATCCCCCTCAGCGGCCCGATCGGATACCGAGCAGATGTACGTTTGTAGAGGGATGTATATTTTAGGAATAATCCTATCAAGTAACCCCCCTCCCCCCCTCAGCCCATGCCCTGACGTTGGTTCACTAAGGAAGGGTATGGGTTGAAAGATTCAAATAAAAAGACTCCAAAAACCCATTTTACCGGGTTAAGATCGAATGCGGTGCGTGTGTACCATGCAAAACATGGATCACCGTTCGTGCGCGCCGCTAGACACGTGTCGCTAATCACCACTCGTCTCGTGATCCGTTCTAAATTTTGAAATTCTCTCGTCGCTCGTCATCTATAAATAGGACGTAGTAGGGGACCCAATCCACGTTTACCCTTCTTGCAAATTTGAGAGCTTCCCGAGCATAATTGCCTACAAGGATTCCCTTTGCACTCTCTTAGTTCATCCAACTTCACTTCTTACTACCGGTAAGTGCTTCCTCCCAGGCTATTCACTATCTTCTTAAGTTAATTTTAAAGGAAATTTTTGTCCACATAGCTTCCCCGTTCTAAAGTGCCTTCCCCTAACTTCAAGGAGAAAACATGACGGACTCGAATAGCTAAAACATTTCGGCTAAGGACTATGACGACATGGTCGATGTTGGATCCTTCTTGATTTCCTCTTATGACTCGACCCTCCGAGAGATCGACGAGTTCTCAAGCAACTAAGCGGAGTCGTCAGGGACCTCCGAGGGTCGTCCCGAGCTATGTCCTCCTGTGCCGCAGCAAGCCAACCAAGAAGCGGGGCCATCTAAACGAGAAACCTCCTCCCGGGTTCTTTCTAAACCTTTCTCTTTCTCCTTCTCGTCCTCGCGCTTCTTCTCTTCCTTCTTCTTCCCGGGTCACCACGACCCGCCCAGTCATACATTCTACTGGTGGGTCTCCACAAATCTATGCTCCCACCCTAACGAGTGGGAAGCACAAATATCTAAATAGCAAGGATGTAGAGCAGCACTCCCGCTTCTTACCCGTACTGAGATTGAGGAGATTTCTTCCCTCCTAACCAGTCGGGTGACTTTTGACACTATGCGAATCATAGAAAATGTCATTGAGTGGCATCAGGGAGAGTGGATCGGTATCCACCTTGATTCGCTTAAGGCCCCCCTAACTTTCCCATTCTCTCCCCTTGTCAAACTCAATTATGAGCTTAGTGTAATGAAAAATCCTTTTCATGGATAATTACAACTTCATAATATGGGTATAGGTTTTGACATCATCAAAAATGGAGAAATTGTTAGGAACATTTAGTTTTATATTTTGATGATACCAAATGATAGGAATTTTAGTCCCTAATTATTTTATTTTTTAGACTTAAGATTACTTATGCTCAACATTCGAACAATTCGAATGGTACTTCGAGTAGTCATGATTCGGAAGAACAAAACATCTTAATAATACTACAAAAAAACACAAGAATAGCGACGGACGAATTCCATCACTAAATAGTGAAAATCTGTCGCTAAAGTATTTAGCGACGGATTTCGTTCGTCACAAAAACCCGCGTTGCTAGAATTTAGCGACACAACTTTTTTCTGTCGCTAAGTTTAGCGACGGATATGTCCTTCGCTAGCCAAAATAAATCCGTCGCTACATTCCTTTAGACGACGGATTCAAAGACGACATTTGTGAGCGAATAACAACGGAAGGAATATTCTGTCGCTATAATTAGCAACGGAATTTTCGTCACTAAAGCAACAAAAAATCCGTTGTTAAGTGTCTACTACTACGATCCGGTGACGAGATTTGCAACGGCTTAACTACGGATTTTTCTGTTGTTAATATAACGACGGAAATTATCCGCCGCTATTCTTTTATTATTATTTGAATTGAATGTGATTTAACTACAACTTAGTGACAAAAATATCCGTCGCTAAATTTAACTACGAATTTTTTCGTTGCTATTTCGTTGCCTTACTATCATATTTGTCCGTCACTAAATTTTAAAAATTAATAAAACAATTGTACCCGCTAATTAATATCAGAAACATGCATTAAGCCTATAATATAGTACTTGAATAATATCATATATATTATATTAAAACATTCAAAGTGAATAACAACAACAAAAGTATAGTAGTATAATGTTACATCATTAGAACCAGTACCAAATATATTAATAAACATAATCTAATCATCTCCTAAGTTTTCATCATTTGAATTAGTTGAATGTTGAGCTTAAGTACTTGGATTGGATAGCATGCCGTTGCGACGCAACTCATCCATCAAACTTGCAATTTGAGCTTGCATTTGAGTTCTTTCAGCATGTAGTTTAGCTTCCATCTCAACTCGCATGGTCTCTAACTGTTGGTTCACCATCTCCTTCATTGCCTCTTGTTGAAGTTGTGAAGTAGCAAATGAACTACAACTATTCCCGTTGATAAATGCAGATGACTTAGTCCCTAAGCCATAAATACGCTATTTTTTTACCCCACCAACAACATCCACATACATCTGTGACATGTCTATAACTGGTGGCTCAGTTGACCCTTCCGCCTCTTGCATTGCAGCATCATGTCGTGCTTATATTTCGTCCTACAATTAAAAACATATACAAAATAAGACAAGTATATAAAGGCATATAAGAATTTTATCTATTTAACAATATACGGTTGTTAGGTTATACTTACAGCGGTTTTCTTTGACCTCTCATCAACGAATGTACCATCCTTCTTTTTGTGCGTATGCGCAAAGCACTCAAACAGATCAGACTCCTTTTGAAGTTTATCCCGCTATTAAATAAGCACAAACAATGAAATGATGCTTAAATCCGTAAAATATATACAAATAATAAATTTTTATGTTAAATGTATTACCAATGTGTGAAAGTGCTCAATAGTTGATCTATGTCCTCCTGTATGTCGAGAACATCCTGTATCAGGTCCTGCTACCTCACTCATCCTATTTTTGGGTTGTTGTTCAGATTTAGCTTTCACTTCAGGCCTATCCCAATATACCTTCCAAATGCGCCATGTATCTTTATGTACAAAATTTGGCTTCCCAGATGAAGTCCGATTCTTCTTCATTTTGGAGACAATATCTGTATAGCGTGTGCTTGCTTGTGTTAAAAAACGCTTTATGTACTTGACGGTTAATGGACTCGTCTCACTTGAAAATTTTCTGTAACATTACAAATTACAAATTTATCAAATATATGCAATATCATCCATAAGATGCATTGGACAAAGTTACTAACATAGATTAAATAACATTCTAGCCTCAAGAATGAACCACACTATTTTCAAAAACATATCGTGAATTTACCTTAAATTCTTCAAAGTATGATTCCTTGTACTCATTAGACACAGTCTTCCAAGTATACCCATCTGGGTAGATCCTTTGCTTCAATATTTTTGTAATTGTATTTGAACATGCGTGAGAAGGCATTAACCTGTACATATATAAAAGATTAATAAAGATAAAAATAATATACACATAAGTGTAAATATAATAACACATTTTTACCTTCCATGCTCTACATGAACAATAAGCAAATCACAAGCAGTAGATGATCCTGCAACTGATGAGGATGTGGGTGGAGCAGTAGAGTCTAATGGTGATGGAATCAGCAAGTCAGGTGGTGAACCAATAGAAGCAGGTGACACAATAGCTGGAGATACTATAGCAGGAGTAAGTGCCACAGGAGAAGGAAGTGCAGACGATGATGGGCTAGAACTCAGAAGTGTAACCGATGCACCGCGTCCACGTCCTCTTATGCGTCTAGCTCTACTACCACCTCGTGTCATCTAAAATAAAATATAATAAAATATAATAAATTTAAATAACATATAAATATAACATGTCCATTTACTATGTAAAATATGTAGTGACTATCAATACCATTATCACTATCTCCTATTACTGAACCTCCACTTGAGTCATCTATTTCTTCCTCTAACTCAAGTTCATCTTCGATGTCACCATGTTCTCCATCAAATTCTATCACCCCACTATTTGGGTCATTTAAACGCAAAGGGTCTTCATCTATTTGCATGAGATCATGATTGTCGGTAGTTTCCTCTTGAAATGGTGCAGGTATTTGTGATTCTTCAATAGATATAGATGATTCAGGAACTACTATTTTAGATCTCGCTTTAATTCTGCAAACAGCCCACCAGTCAAGTTTGTCGCGATGCAAACTTGGGTATGTACAATAATAAACTTGAGCGGCTTGCATTGCTAGAACAAATGGTTCATAGCGATTAAATCTACGCTTATGATTAACTTCAACAAGTTTATACTCAGAATGGATCTGCATGCCCACACTTGTCGGGTCAAATCACTCACACGATGAATAATATTGTCCTCTTGATTGGTAAGCCAAGGTACTCTACTTGTAGAACTTCTACCAAGCAGCCATAATAATTACTTTCATCTACACTATAGTTTGTACCTTTTATGCAAACTCCACTATTCATTATTTCTTTTATTCATCTCCACTATTTATGCAAACTCCACTTTCATAACCAATGGTGTGAAATTTAAAGTCATTCACATAATACCCTGAATATGTATTAACGCATCTTAGTGGCCCTTTTGCAAGATCCTTTATAAATTTGTTTGAAATGTTATTTTAAGGATCATGTGCTTGTATAATACATAATATAAGTGTTAAAGTTTATTAAATAATTTGAAGTTTAATATACATAATATATATACAAGTCTTACATAGTCATTGAACCAATTTGCAAATTCATTTTCCAATTTACCATCAATGGTAGTACTGGAAATGTTTGGTTGACTCCTCTTTAACTCCTCAATATAAACCCTTTAAAGAAATAAGTGGGTTAACATTTATAACACATTGCATAAGAAAATTGAACAGAAGTTAATTCTTACTCCATAAATGACCCTACTTCTGAACAATTTAATAACACATAGGTTTGAACATCTTTATACTCTTCATATGTCATATATCTCGCTTTTGCTTTACCAAATGCTCGCCCCGGATACTTGAATATAGAAAGAGTTTCTTCATGTTCATCAACTACATATTCACTACTATCCGCATTTCGAGGAACGTTTCTGTGCTTCGTGCTAACATGGTCCTCAAAATAGTATGAACAGAACGATGATGCTTTTTCCACCAAATATGCATTGGATATAGAGCCCTCGACTTTCGCTTTATTTTTTACATTATTTTTCAATTTTCGAAGGTATCTAAACACAATTGACATATATAAGCGACAATGTTATTATATGTTTGGAAACATATAAAACAACTAATAAAATTTATACCTCTCAAATGGATACATCCACCTATATTGAACTGGACCAGCAATCTTTGCTTCATAAACTAAGTGGATTGGTAGATGCTCCATAGAGTCGAAGAAATTATGTTGAAATATATGTTCAAGTTTATATAGAATGAGAGGTATGTCATTCTCAAGCTTCGTCATTTCCTCAACTGCAATTATAGTGGAAGTAAGGTTCTTAAAGAATAAACTCAACTATGTAAGAACTTTCCAAACATTTAACGAGAGCAACTCACAAAATGCAATTGGTATTAACCTCTGCATAAACATATGACAGTCGTGACTTTTCATACCGAATAACTTCAATTTCTTCATATCTGCACATCGACTCATATTAGATGCATAGCCATCAGGAAATTTGATATTCCTAACCCATTCACACAATGCTTCCCTGGCCGGTTTGTCAAGTGTGTAACAAGCTTTTGGGAACTTTCCGGTCACAAGGTCTCGGTTCAGCTCAGGCCGCCGACAATTATCATTCAGCTCTTCTCTAGATTTATATGTTTCCTTTGTTTTTCCAGTAACATCCATTACTGTGTTGAACACGTTATCAAACACATTTTTTTCTATATGCATGACATCCAAATTATGCCGTACCAACTGTGAACTCCAATATGGCAAATATCCCAAAAGATACTTTGCTTCTTCCAACCGCAAGTTTTGGAAATGAATCCATTAACTTCAGCTGCATCCAATTTAGTGACCTTCTTAAGGCCTAAAGTCTCAATCTCTGCAAGGATATTATATCCTGACCGAACATGTGGTGCCTCAGTTGTAACCGCTCTGTTCTTAAAGAATGCGGTCTTATTCCTGCGAAATAGATGATTTGGTGGAAAAAAATTTCGATGATTGTCAAACCACGATTGCTTACCACTGTGTTTTAGGGTGAAGGCATCCGATTTGTCCATGCAATACGGACAAGCTAACCTCCCAGCAGTGATCCACCCGGATAACATCGAATATGCAGGAAAATCATTAATTGTCCACATAAGGGCAGCTCGCATATGAAAATCCTGCTTCTTTGAAATATCATATGTTTGAACACCGACTCCCATAATTAGTTTAACTCCACAATAAGCGGTTGTAAAAAGACATCTATCTTCTCTTTTGGATTTTTTGGACTTGGAACCAATACGGTCAAAAACATATACTCCTCCTTCATACACATCCAAGAAAGCAAGTTGTACGTTGTTAGTATCACAGGCCCTGAGGAGTATTGTTGTCCTGACTGTCCAAATGGTTGAAAACCATTGGTGCACAGACCTAGCCTGACATTTCTAATTTCATATGCAAAGTCAGGATAAATGTCGTTAAAATACTTCCAAGCAAGCGAGTCCAAGGGATGAAGCATGATTCCATCTTCAACTGAATTTGCATGCCACTTCATATCATTTGCTTTATCATTAGATGCATACAACCTCTGTAGTCGAGGAACCAGAAGAAAGTAATACATTTTTTTTGTATACTACATTAGTTTTCTGTCATTTTGTAGCACCACGAGACGTTTGTTTAAATCGATGGTGGGCACAGAACTTACACGTTGTCATATCTATATCTGATCCCAATATATCATGCAGTTGTTCTTGCAACACTCAATCTTCTAAACCGGCAATTCCATGCCCCATAATAGCTTTTTGGTTTCGTAGAAGTTGTCAGGAACTAGATTATCCTCTGGAACAACTTCTTTCAAAAGTTCAGTGAATTGATTGAAATATTTTTCTAATATGTGATTCTCTTATTTCAAGCTCATAAGTCGAGTTACAAGAGACAACTGCGAGTGTTTTTCACTCCCAGGCCACAACTCTTGATCTGCAGCTTTCAGCATATCATAAAACTTTTGGGCCTCGGGATTTGGCAATTCTTCTATTTCTCATCCACATTAAATTTAGGACCAGCAACATCCATAACCATTGTGTGGTAAGCATTAGTTGCTTCTTCACTAGCCATTTGAGATGGGTCACCAACGTCTCGATCAACATCTTCACTCACATTGCACTCGCCATGGAAGCGCCAAACATAGTAGTCCGACACAAATCCATATTTTGCTAAGTGGAATTTCACGGTAGGCACATCTAAAAACTTGGTGTTTTGACACTTGCGTTGATTACATGGACACTTAATTCTTTCCCCGTCCATCCAAATGTGTTGACTAGTAGCAAATTGGATGAAACTTTTAAGACCAGCCAAAAACTTTTCAGTAAGAAGACCATTTCTAATTCGTGTATACATCCAATGACGATGTGAATTCATTGTATTTATCACCTATTTAAATGCTATATTTCATTTTAAAAAAACCCTAAAATTACATTTCACCGAGACAGAAATCATTCGAAGAAATTCTAATAGACATTCAAATAAACAATCATGCATATTTTCATAAACCTCCGGTACCCACAGGGGTTTATCTAGAGAAAACACAAGTGCCGGTACCCACAGACGGTTTAGCCGGCAAATAAAGACATTCAAATAAACAATCATCCATGTTTTCATAAACCTCCGGTACCCACAGGCGGTTTATCCAGAGAAAACACAAGTGCCGGTACCCACAGGCTGTTTAGCCGACAAATAAAGAACAAATGAAAAATTTGTAAAT